AAAAAAAAAAAAGAGCACACAGCTGCCATCCCAAAACCAGACCTCCCATCTGCCACCCACGATTTGCATGTCACCTTCTCCAGGCTCATTTGTACTTCATTAACTGCCATTGACTTAACAAGATTTATGCAAATGACACCATAGGAGCTCGCTAACTCCCACTGCAATCAAGTGATTATGTATGTACAATTCTCCACAGCAATGAAAAATTAATACATGACAAGCCCACTCACCGCTGAGCCGAGCTTCTTGCTTTTATTTTTCTTGTTGTGCTTTTTTTTTTCCCATTTGAATATGCCCTACTGATAAAGATTTAGCAAGACGACAGAAAACAAAGTAATCTTCCCAAAACGCTGCAAAAACCCCATCCTAGAAAGTATGTCACCCTAAAATGTACAGCCTAATACATGCTTCAGAATACTCATTCAGGCTACCGGGAACAAGTCTCCATGTTCAGAATAAAAGGTTTCCAACAGAGGATACTCCAGACAGAGTGAGCCATTCACCTTAAGTTTGCTTTAAGGCTAGTCCCAGCAATGCCACAGAAGAGAGCTTAACCACCTTTCTCAGAAGTATAGAGCTTTCTATGGATTTTAACTTCGGGCTAATGCTGTTTCAGACATTTTTTTGACTCCATCTGATTAGAAGAACACATTTAAATAACACACAAGTGAGACTTTTTTTTAAAAATTATTTTGTTTAACCACCTCTTTCTCAAAAGTACAGAGCTTTCTATGGATTTTAAACTTCGGGCTAATACTGTTTCAGCCATTTTTTTTACTCCATCTGATTAGAAGAACACATTTAAATAACACACAAGTGAGACTTTTTTTTTTAAATTATTTTGTTTTGAAAATTATAGCAGTCACAGTTCTCACAGGATGCGAAGAGCACAGCATTTAAGGCATGCTGATACCACTACTCATGCAGAAGGTGTTTGCTCCTCCCTGGGAAATTGACCTTCCCCAAATTCGACTCACCTCAGAGTACTCTGGCAGAAGTCAGCAGTCACGTTTTAAAAACACGACTGCTTTTCAGTGCCTACATTTTGGGTTTCTGCTGGGAGCAAGGAGGTTCGTCAGAACAGTTTTATATGGCTTAGCCCAATAAAACTGTATTTAGCACTGCAGTGAAAAGTGGTTTTGAACATTTAGAAAGGACAGAAAGAAAAAGAACGTTAACTCCTTTCGACCAGATTGCTTTAAGTGAAGGAAAAAGCCCTGAAGAAACGAGGCATTTTTTCGGAAGGAAACACGCCGTTTACAAGTCTGCCCATTTCCCCCAAACGTACAGGGATTCAGGGACAGAGAACAGGAATTCAGGAGCAGGTTGAAGCTCTTGGCTTCTTCTGACCAAAAATATGATTGTATGAAAAACCACACCAAAACCACAGCAAACTCCAGTAGCCGTGCAAGCCGGTACCTGGGTCCCAGGCAGCCTTTAATACAGAATTATAAGCAACTCTTTATGCCAGCATAGCTCACTTCAAAAGATGCCCATGTGCATTTAGAGAGAAGCTAGGAGAGGAATTAAATGCCTCTAGAAAAACCTTACTCTTCTATCAGTTCAAACTGTCACCAAATATACAAAAGCATCACTTTGGTGATACACGTCGACCATAGCCATGCTGGCTCAACAGTTGCAATACAGACCTGACATATGGAAAACACTGTTGACAAGGAGTTTGTGTCACTCATCGTGTTCTCCCCACATCCTAGCAAGCCAAATTTTTCAAATACTCATTCTGTGCTCTCCCCTCCACAAACAAACGTACTCGACTGATGTCGACTCTTCCTCTCCTCTTGGATGTACCCCTCTGGTGTTGGCAGAGATTTCATTTCTTCCTCGAAAACAGGACACTTCCAATTACCAATTAACTGGTTAGGGGTTGTTTTTCCTGTTGTTGATGTGGTGGGGGATTTTTGTGTTTGTTTTTGTTTCTTTGGGGTTTTTTTGTTGTTGATTTGGGGGTGGGAGGTTTGGGGTTTGTTTGTTTGTTTAAGATTGGGAAAGAGGATTTCTGATTTCTGGGAGACTGCATAGGTAAGAACAACCCACAGGAAGCACAGAATACACCGGATAACCAAGCCATTGGTTTCAACATCTGCAGAGCAAGACCTTTTCTTTCTTCTATTAGCTTTTCTGGAATTACTTGTTTTTCTAATTAACAGTGAACTATGAACACAAAATCCACTGTATTAGTTTCAACTTCTTTTTTTTTCCTGTAAAACTGCTAATAGAATCACCCAACACAAGTGAAGCGCTGATCTGCAAGTACGAGCTTGGGCTTCTGCCTTGCACCAGAAGCACATGCTGCCATGCACAGGGCATAAGAACCTGTAACAAAATAAGGTATTGACAACAGACATTAAAATTCCTGGTCACTGCACGCTTTTGAAGATGTCACAAAGACAAAATAGAAAAGTACATGCATGAGGCTGGCAAAAGCATTTTGCCCCTTGGTCACTAAAAGATATCGCGATGGAAGGGGTTTCTCACTGCAAGCAGCACAGCAGCACGACATACTAAGGTTTTTAGGTCAGAAAGTTCCTTTTTCACATCCCTCTGCCTTGTTCAGTTAACGTGTAAAACAAAAGACAAACCATCTTTTCTAGCAGGAATTTCTACTGCCTCAGAGAAACGCCCGAGCACCGAGCACCTGTAGAGCCCACCAAGAACACAGTTCTGTCAGCAGCTTGACTTGGTGCCACCTCTACTGATAGGAGATTTCCATCTAAATCGACAAAAAGCTGTCCCCCTGGTCAAACTTCAGGAGCCATTTTGACTTGAAACAGCATTGTTGGTAATCAAAGACCACTTCAGACAAATGCATGTTTTTAAACTGTAATGAAACATCAGTTTGAATACGTATTATATTTCAATTTTTAACTGTTTCCACATCAAAAATGTACCTTTTCCTACTCTCCCTTTTTTTGCTTCAATGGCAAGGCAACGCTGGTCTCTTACACTTTACTGCAGACTGTCAGTCTATAACACAGAAAACCTACAAACTCCAAAATCCATTCTCTTGACGTACAAGTATGATGTGAAATACCACTGACAGCAGCCATCCTACTGCACCGCATGCCACTCAACCGCCCTCCTCCTAGCATCCTCCAAAACCCCGGTGAATAGGGTGTAGCTGCTGACTACAGACCTGCTCAAATATTTGCTGATAATTGCTTGTACATGACAAGATGAAATTACCATAATTGGGATTAATAACAAAATGTACACGTTCCCAGAAGATTGGTCATACTCAGTATACAAAGTAGGGGATGCAGGGAGAATTTTTCTGTACAGAAATCCAAGAGGATGAAACATCCCCTACGATACAACACAGTGCAGTGCAATCACACTCAAAACGCTTATCTTACAATACTCTTCCTACAAGTGCAGTGTTAATCAAATTTATTTCATACAACAGCATTTCAGAAAAGAACAGTACGTATGCTTTGAATAAATATTGAAAAGTATATTCCTCAGTTTCACGTTCTCAGCTGCATCCGCAGACACTTTTGTTTAATTAGCATTACCCAAAAGAATTCCAGCCGGTCTAACCCATCTCATACCATACAAAAGCTGTAGGAAAAAAAAAATTGTAGCTTGTTTTAAATGCCTGGAATCTCCTCATCTGAATGCAGAGCCAAATGCTGAGTTTGAAACGTTATCTGGTTTCAAACTGCTCCTGTGAATTGCAGTGTGTATGATTAAAATTTGTCTACCAGACATTCACAGACACGACAGCACTTTTGCTGCCTGATGGTCCCGAAAGGTTTTTTTAAACTGCCTTTAAGAATGAAAAATCACTACAAATAGTTAAGGGTACAAACCCATCTCCCCCTCACCCTAAAAAAACCACCCCAAAGCAAACAAAAAAACCAAACCAAATACATAAATCCACTCCAAACAGCAGGCTCAGGGCTACCTGGCAAGATGAAGCATGGACTGAGGAAAGATTAGAAGAGGCGAGTGACCCTCTGGAGAGTAGGAAAGCCACCAAAAGGAACTGGGATCAACCATGGGGAAAGAAAATAAGCTCCCTTCCCTTGGCACTTTTGTTGTCTCCAGCACAGTAACTCACATGGCAGTAAACACTCGCAAACACCATCACAGAAACTATTTGTACAGCATCCCGTACAAACGCTTAGCGTGGTGTTCCTAACCACGTGAATGCAGCATAATCTAATTTGAGAAAGTAAATGATCCCATTCACCCAAATACTTCGCATTAGATGCCGGTATTGCTTTTGCCTTTCAAAGGAGTGTTCACAGCTACAATTTAGCATTGAGTTTCCAGGCTAATGAAAGTGCATCTAGGCTAGTAAAACAGACCAAAACAAATCCTTGAATTCAAGTCCTGTTGTGTAATGAGGAAGTTTAATTAAGGCCACACATTACAGCTGTAAACGTTCTCTTATATAATAAGGTCTAAATGAAACTGAACCTAATCAAAGTTACAATTCCTTCATTAGCAAATTACAAACAAGAGCGCACAGCTGACACACCGGCTATGATTATCACAACTAATTGCCTCGTTGTTACAAACCAGCCCGAAACTGTGTTCAGATGTCCGTCTGCAGTAGCAAATTAGGGCCACATCAGGCTATTTCTGCGATCACAAGGGGCTCTTGTAGAGCGATCTGATTTACCCCGCCGACTGGCAGCACACAGCCCAATCAAAGCCCCCTCTACAAAGGCAGCTTTGAAGCCAGCACAGCCTAGAAACCCGCTCCATATGCAGGCCGGCAGACTGCACTTCATTAGGCCTGTTGTCACATTTTCCCTCTTCTTATTCTAATGATCCTATTTTAATACACATAGGAACCTCTCCTAATTGATGTCAAGTGAGTGACTTCCACATTCATCACCGGAACACATCAAACGCGTCTTGGCGCACAGGCCGCCATCAGAGTGCTTAAGACCCAAGGTGTGTCTCCAACTATGGCAAGGAAAAAAAAACCAACAAAAAAGGCAAAAAAAATAGGATTTCGGCATTACCTGTTTAATTGGGATTGCGCGACCGCTTCCAATGCTATCTGTTCTGCTCTCCAGGACCTTCTTCTCTTTGTCTGGGTCACTCCCTTTCCGAGACTGCAGAGCAAAAAGAAAGTTTGTGCTCCATTAAATGTAGTGGTTCACACAGAGGATGCTTCCCCCCCCTTTTTTAAAAGCAATTACAAAGAAGTATTTCGACACACAAATATAGAGTCAAAGACAACACAAGTACACAACCATCTCAAAATCTGACTACTGAAGTACTGCCTGTAATTTTCAGCCATCCACTCGTTTGAAACGGCGTTTGGGTTTAAAGAGTTACAGTTTCGTTGCCTGAAGACCCAGCAGATCAGAGGACACGTTTCTGAAGTCTCCAACAGTAGCTCCAAAGAGGAATGAAGGCACCAGCTTCTCATTAAAAAAAAAATCCTATATATACATGCATACATTTAACTTACATCTGTGTGGTTTTTAGAATTGTTATCAGCTACCTAGAAATGCCATTTTATTACGCTGGTTTTGATCATACTGACTTGAACTTTTCCCCCCCCTACTTCTTAATGGTTAGAAAGTTTGGAATCACAAGAAAAGGTAGCGATTGGTACTGGAAAAAGTTATCTGAACAAAATGAAGGCAAATCACCATGAGGAAAATTTAACCAATGTTTAAAACCTGAATTGCCTGATCTCAGCTTTCTGTAATGCTGGAACTGCCCTGGGAGTGAGCTCACAGTGCTCGCTTCATGACTTTATAAAGTTATACAGGAATTTAAAGAAGTTATTCAGATTCCAGTCGCTTACTGTGAAAGAACGCACAAGCATAATGATAGTGACAGATTTATTTTATTACAAAAAGAAGACCTGAGAGTCATCCTCCTTAATAACTGAGCTGACAAGTGACAACTTCACTCCATTACTTTTCAATGGGAACATTACTCACACAATATCGAAAATGGGAAAACATTTTCATGTGCTTTTCAAATCAGAGATGATATATGAAACAAATATATTTGCCATGTCCAGTACCACAATGGGAAGTTAATGAAAACCAGAGCAACACGAGAGCCCGCTTCTCGTTTTCAGTGGAAAGAGATGTTTGAATGACACCGAAATTAGAAGAATGATTAGGATCGCGGATAGCCATTCTCCATATTGTATGACGGGGTGGAAGGAAGAAAAAAATCCCCAAAGCAGTTGCCTTCAGGGGTGAGAGGAGGGAAGGGGAGGGAGAAAACCCACGGAGGACTTGAAGTAACACCATTCTAAGCAAGACATTTACGCAGCAGGGATCCCGTGCTGCTCTCCCCGCTCCGCCCGGAGCGGGCTCCTATCACCAGTTACTATGGTTCGGGGCAATGGAATGACGTGCCAGGGAATTAAACAAAGACTAAATGAAAGCAAGCAAAACAAGTGGGAGGGATGAAATCCAATGTTCAGGATAACTATTGTTCCTTGTCCTTCAAGACAGATTTCTGAATCTGAAAGTGCCACTTCCCAATAATACCAGGCAAAACAATGCTTCAATGGCGCAAAGTGCCCGTAAGTGACATTTTAAAGAAACTCAGTGAAGGTAGCCAAATCCTTGGGAGGGAACTTATCAACTTGAATGTTTCTTTTTTTATTTGACTTTTTTGAAGAAAGGATCCTGCCTCTGAAAAGCAAGTTAAATATCTACACGCTATTTTTCATTTTTATTTTTAAATCACCACGTCTTCCGTTCTGTAAAAGCAGCTGCATCCGGAAATAATACATTGCACATAGAAGGGAAATATCTAGGTGTAAAATATTGTCAAATGCTAAAAGTATAGAAACATAGGAATTTGTTAAGCAAATTCTATTCTAGCTGCTTGTAAGCACAGAATACATAAAATTTTCAAGAGGAGAATCTTAGCAGGCTCCGCTATTTATAAAGACAAATCGTGCAGTGAAACAGAGAGATATTCTGATATTTTATGCTTTTGTACCTACGACACACACAATGCATCTTACATGGGTAAAAAAATACTCTAAATCATGCTGGGTTGACATTTGCTAGGACATTTTCTGATGTCACATCTACACGTTAAGTTGTTCTATTTAAAACTTTACTCAAGCAAATCAGAAAAAGGGGGGAAAAAATATAAAACGCCTGCAGGAATATCATTTGACTCATATCCCCTTTGCGCTGGAAGACTTATGTCAACACAAAACCTCACCCAAGTTAGGTCGGTGAGGTAACCTGAGGGTGACAGCATCAGAATCCTGTACTGGCAATCCAGGGAGCCCCAAAAGCAAGAATCCCGATCTCTGGTATTTGATACTGAGACAGGGTTCGTTTCCATTTTTAACCGTCATGCTTGCAATTCTGCAAAGATGTACGATAGGTAATGCTGAATATGGGAAAGGAGATGCATCTTACTGCACCATAAGTTCATCTACCCTGTATGGGACTGGACGTGTAGTTACAATCAGTCCTTTGCTGAAGTGGACCTGCTTTATACACACTATTAATTAGTTGTCCCTGTTAATACTCTGCACAAAATGAAGGACATTTACCCTTCTGCTAATATTTCGTCTATTTTATCATACAAGTAGAAAGTTGGCTGCTGTAACAATAGCTTTACAGCAAATAATCATATTCAAAAGATCAGATACTGCATATAACGCACTTAAACATGAACATGCTTAAAATTCTCAACCCTATTTCAACTCAAAAGCTATAATCAATTTAAGAGAAATCATATCCATTTTCTACTACCCAATTTTCTTCCAACACAAAAAGACTTTCATGTAGGAAATGAAATACTTTACCTATGCTAGATAACAAGGGGTGATTTGCAACTAAACAGAAATATATTTGATTCTGTAAGTGATAAAGGCGTAAGCAAGTAACAGGCTAGGAAAGAAGCAGAGCAAGAAACCTGAGGTAAACAGTAGAATATTTTGACTATGCACTCTCTTTATAACTAGACAGAAAATGCAGCTATTTATTCAATTAAATAACTCCAGTTTATAACTTGGTTGATATGGCACGAAACGTGGGTCACAGCAGGGTCAGTGTTAAATACTTTAGGAGAGGTTACAGGGCAACTCACTACACAACATTCCATATGCCCAGATCTTAAAGACAGAAATAATTCTGAAAAGTCAAATTATCATTTTTTTTTCCCCCACAGGACTTGTTTTCCCCCCAATTTTACCCCAGTTATTAGACAACTATTGAGACAACTACCACCATTCTCTCATATTAGCAAATGTGGTTCTTACGATGCTATTCTCGCAAACCAGAGCTTCAGTCTATTTGTTTCCAGCAAATGCAGCTGACAACGTCCTTCTCAAACCCTTTTCCGTGACTGTGGACAGTGTATGCTTCTCTTTATTCACTTTCTCAAATTTACACCCACTCCCATTTAAAGCACCCCCGGTTTCCCACAGGTAAACAACATCTATCCAGCCCTTAGAGCATCTGCTGCATCCTTCAGACCAGAAATGGTCAGGGAGTGCTTCTGGGGGATGCTGTGGTGGCTCAGCTCCGTTTCCAGAAGGATGGAGCTGCTGACAGTTCCTGGGCTGACACTGACACCTAGTGGGCCTGGGAACTGCTCAGCGCACCCCAACAGCAGCCGGTGTTCTGGAAATCCACATGATTGCTAGAAAATATCAGCACTGAAATCGGATACACTGTCACCTATCGCTAATTTTTGCATGTTTTGTTGCTTTACACCCAAATCTTTGCATCTAAACATGAATGCATTATTTTCATTCCTTTGTAAGAGTCTGAAGATCTAATTTTAAATTAAAATCCTGCTGTCAGGATGGATGCATGAATTACAGTCCCTGGGACTCTGCCACTAAACACTCTGAAATGACGACAAACTTTCTGCTTGCTAAAGGCCAAGAGGTCAGGTTTTCTTTAGAGTGCAAGGAAATGGTTTTACCATTTTGGTACATGGTTCCCTGAACACCACAAGGGAGTGAGCTAACTCCATGACATCACCTTTGGAATGAAAAAAAACCAAAAAAAGGCTTCCATGTGAGCCCACAGGGATGCTGTGTTTGCTATAAAGCATGTTAAGTTTCAAAAAACTTCTTACAGAACCACAATTACGCACGCAATACAATCCCAAAGCTTTCAGCAAGACCACTAAACTAAGGAAATCATCACTCAAGGCTTCATTATCATCTCCCAAACTACTTATGCATAACAAAGACCTGTCATATAGGACCAGTCAAGCTTTCTATTTAGTACGGTTTTTTTGCCTCCTGATAAAGCAAAAAACCAGATGGTTTGGAAAGAAAAAAAACCTCCTCCTTTTAATCTCCATCATCTCTTTTAGCCCTGAAAAAGTGAGTTGAGACTGTAGAGTAATAAAATTAGCATGAGGTAGTTACTTTGGAGTAACGCATGGTATCCCTGAGACCTCTCTGCAGATACAGGAGACATGAGAAGGAAGCCTCAAGTCAGCAGGATTAAGCAGAGGCTCAGCTCTCTCTTTGATTACTGACAAATCTGGGAATCTAGACAGGTGTGAGAGTTACAGTGGGACAAAGGCTCCAGAATTCAACCATGGATTCATTTGTTTCACTGCAATTCCCAGTAGGGTAACTTCACTGTACATGTAGTTCCTTGAAGTCCTCCAAGGGAACCGTCCCATGGCAATTCTAAGACGTTTCAGTTTTCAAGCCTATGGATCCATCTCAACACTCCTGTCTGGATTAGACCAGCTCAACTCAACAGGGTTCAGGCCGTCACCACAGAGCACTACGTAAAACACAGCAATAGTCTCTTCCTTGGCTCACTCACCGTGAAGAGGTTGGACCGGCGCTTGGACTGTTTACGGACAGGAGTTGGTGTGTTGGCAGTGGGAGGAACATCAATCCGTAGCTCCTTCTGGCTGGTGCTTGGAGTTGATGGGACAGAGGAGGAATAATCACTTAAACTCCCTCCTCCATTACTGGTCTGCAAGGATTAAAGTTAGTTTTAAACAGTGATACACTGCTTTCATGAAATTACAATCCACAGCTGTATCTTAGCTAGTCCTGTCACATAGCAACAGCAGCCCACGCTCAGGAACGCATCGGGACTGCTCTACTGCTACTCTTCCCCACAATTCTATTACAAGTCCTTAAATATTTTCCCTGCCAGTATTTTTCAAAAACTTAAGATAGTTCTGTTGATATGGCAGGCACATTTTCATTCTATGCAATATAACTTTAACTGGATATAAACAACTTCATTTGTCTTATTAGCGTTAAGAGTAAGCAAAACGTTGGGGCAAGTCTAAATTCTGGTTTTCTACTTCAGAACTGCTAAGCAAAATTCTGCCTCAAGCTTAAGAAACAATACCTAGTGCCATAGAACTACATTGCTAACCTTCATCCTAGTCTGGAGACATTAGTTCACTGAGAGCTAATGAGGAAAATGAAAATTATCCAATGTTGTGAAATGGATACTACAGTGATACAGTTCCAAATGTGTTTGCTGAAGCCATTGGTACAGCGACACAAAACCTTAAAGGAAGACATTCCAATTTATTCAAAGTAGCCAAAAATGTAAAGTTACGTCATGGTCTAGCAAGAAATAAAGCAGTCACTCAGCCTACAAAGAATTAATGAACTGAGGTACAAGTTACTAACGGCAGGAAGGTGAGGAAAACAGAATGGAAAGGTGACGAAGAACAAAGTCTTGATTTCCTTTTTTCTGTATTATTACACATAACATAAATGAGTACTAAAAACATCATTAAAAAGGATGTGGAAGTAGTCAGGAAAGACAGAAGTACAGATTTTTCCTATCAGATACAAGTATACTCTTTGAGAATATACTGTATATGCTGATGGGGGACCGGGGCAGGGCAGAGGGGGAAAATTCTGCACACCACTGATGAAATGTTCACCAGAAGAGCAGCAGTGGGTGAAGGGTCTGGACAATGGATCACAGGTAATTCGTGATGGGGGAAATAAAGGTCTGTGACACACGTGAATGGGTGAAAGAACATCCTTAAAGCAGCCAAGTTTCCTATAAGAAGTGAGGAAAGAGAGTAAGAGGGTATTTCCAGGATGTCCAAGGAGAAAGATTCTCCTACGACATCTAAAACGTGACTTGGTCTCATCTCAACTGCTGTAGGTAGGAATTCACCGGGTAAAGCTCCGAAGGAAAAGCAGGCACTGCAGTGCTGACTCTTGAGCATCACTCCTACACTGGTGATGGGTTTTACATACGCACAAAGCTGCCATGCAGGGGAGGCAGCAGCAGCACGAGGGGACTTCTCACGCACTCCCTGGAGGTCAGCGTATGGGCCAGGGTCTCCACTTGCAAGCAGTCAAGATGAAACCTCTGAAGGAGAGCCAAGTAGGAGACAATCCCCTAGATCATCCAGATGAAGTCTCTTTTAAGGATTTCAAGTCCTCTTCTGATTCTTCCAGCTTTTCCAAATTGTATTTTTTCTTTTTCTTCTTTTCCCTTTTTTTTTTTTAATTTAAGAAGCAAAGGATAAAAAGGAAGAGGTGTAAGACAAGCAGCTCATTTTTGGGCTGAAGGGCCAATAAATGCAGATAGAAATCCAGGAACACCACTTCTGAAAGTCACTGTTTCTCTGCAGATGACAACGTGTTCCTCATCTCATTTCTGTGTGGCAAGATAGGACTGACAATACAGCAAATGAGCTTTTTGATGGAGAAAGTTCTCCTCTTCCCCTCTTTCAATAAATAAAGGAGACTAAATTTCATCTTCCCTTCATTCTGACCGAATTGAAGGAGCGTGGCTGTCAGAAAGGCAGAGGTAAGGGTACTGGAAGTAACAGAGGAACTTGAGAGAGCTTTTCTACAACTTTTTAAGTGCCCAAGGAAGTAGCAAGCATGATTTAGAGATTGCTTGAGCATACGAAACAAAGGAGATGAAAGAACGAGTGCTGAAATGATCATTTTTAGTGTCCTAACAGACAATGGTAACACCAGAGCAGGATGACCTGGGAAGAAGTGACCTTAATTAATCCCACATTCATTTTCTCTTTCTCTGTCACGTCTTGCTGAGACACCAAGTACCACACCAAACACACAGGAGAGTAAATAACCCGCAGGAAGACACGCACCAGACCTGTGGAAGCCAGGTATTACCTCTCCGAAGCAACACAAGAAAGACTCTTGCATGAAGAAAAGTAATGAAAAAACAACGTGCAATTAGGACACAAAAGTAATTGCCGAAAGTTTGCCGAAGTTCAAACAGCCAATGACTTTGAAAATGAGTACTCAAAGCAATCACAGAATCACAGAATCGCTCGGTTGGAAAAGCCCTCTGAGATCATCACGTCCAACCGCTCCTGTCTACCCCCTAAACCATATCCCTAAGTACCTCATCTACCCGCTCTTTAAACACATCCAGGGATGGTGACTCCACCACCTCCCTGGGCAGCCTGTTCCAGCTTCTGACGACCCTCTCAGTAAAGAACTTCCTCCTTCTCTCTAAATGGACGTATCAAAGCTGAGGAGGCTGGTACGGAAGACTTCAATTATGGCTGACAAAAGAAAGCGGAGAAGCAGAGAATCTGAATATTCATCAACTGTAAAACAGCACTGGAGAAGGAGACCAAAGATGCTGGTGTCAAGGAATGGCTTTCAGACCAGAGTGGTGAGGGCCCACTGTCCACTCTGCCGTGACTGAGCCAAACTGGGGTGGGGAGAATGAGGGAGAAGGAAATCTAAGGAAGCAACCATTACTGGGAAAAGGCACTGAACGTGTTTAATATTAAAACTATGCAGCTGCAAGGCTCTTCAGAGGAAAAAAAACTAAAAGAGGACAATAAGCAAAGAAGATGGTGGAGAAAAGGAAAATCACAACAGGATTATGCCTCAAAACATTTAGAATCCTCTTCTACAGAAAGGAGGGGAACAAGGCAAGAAAGAAAGATTTAGACGTTGCACACTGATGGCAGGATTTGAACCAAAAGCTGATGAAAATCAAAGGATTCAGCTATGTTCTGTTCCATAAGAATGAACAACTTGGTAACTACACAGCGCCACCTTTTTTTACAAACTAATATTAACAGATGTCTACCCTAAAGTGCCTATTTTCCAGACAAAGCAAATAAAAGATTCCCTAAAATTGTACCTTTTAAATCTTTCATTATCTTATAGCAACATTCTACACTTTTTGCAGTGAAACACTGACTCCCGGATTTTTAAGTAATTTATTTTCCAGGAGTGAGTAACTCCTAAAGGAAAACACACACATCCTAGTCCCCAAAGACAAACATTCCTATACAGACAGCTTCTCTAAAAGAAGTCCTGCAGGCAATGTTTCTCTTCACATATACCAACCCCACTGGATTTCCAATTTTGTAAATAAAATTCTGAGGTGGTTTCAAGATAAGCCATGTCAAATCCACAGGCAGGAGAAAAAAAAAAGAATCTATTTCAATAAAAGCCTTAAAAACAGAAAACTTCCAAGCTTTCACAGAATAAAAGCATGGCTACCGATACTGAACAAGCTCCAACTCCTACTGAGGGTGCCAATAATTGGTGAACATAAAACTATACGGCTGCTCTAAAACACATCGATGGAGAGAATGGGTTTGACAAGGAAGAGCTTGGACAGGATTTCCAACTTAGAGCCTGCACGGACAAGACAAGAGCTTGGAAATCGTATTCTGGGTAACATCTGAACCTGATGTGTTTCTGAAGGAAGCAGAAGGTGGCAAGGGGTCTCTACTGCGTTTGCTTGCACCAAATTCAAGTTTAGGGGCCTTGCCATATTGAGATTGTAGAGAGCAGTTTCCTGCCACTGGTATGCAATCATTTAATAACGAGTTCACTGGAGTGGAGTGCAGAATTTTGGACACATGGCAATAACTATAAATCATAGAACTGGACATTTGTCCCAAGCCAGAAGAATCATGTCAGTGATTCTGAACAATCTTCCTTACAACACCTGTAACCCAACACATATCTAGTATAAACCTGTTTGCTGACAGCAGACAAACTGGTCAAATTTCTGGCAGTCAAAACCAACCAAAGAAGCACTCTAATACCCATTGGGACATTGCACAGCTTAACATTGCCTTTTCAAAAAAGTCTTTTCCACGAAGGTGCTCTCAAGAATTGGACATACCTGAGACATCAGCATAAATGGCCATTTCTATGTCACTGCTCTAACCAGAGCCACGGCCATAGGAACAGAGGTCAACCAAAGGACTCTGGATAGGGAAACTATTAGCCCCAGTAGAGCCATTTACACAGATATACCCCTGTTTGGGTTTCCTGGGTGACAGATTTTCCTGTCCTCATTGAGACACCATGCCCATTCTGAAAGGTGATCAGCTTCTGGACATACACAGTGCAACCTTGACTTTCCTTCCTGCTTGGAAGACACACAGCCTGACGGTGGTCAATGAACTTCAACACACTGCTAGAGATAACGCTGAGAGTCTTTCATTTTGGGGATATGTTACTCCTAGAACACACTGGTGTGAATGGCCAATACTCCATTTATACAAAGCATGCCTTTAGTATACAAACAGGCTTCTAGCTTTGTTGCCACATAGACTAATGCGGTAAAGAACTCAAAGTCATGGCAGCAAGCACAAATTCAGCAGAATACACTGACACACCACACAAGATCAACTCAGATGAAGCTATCAACCTGGCAGAACTTCACCAAATGAGTCCATTCAATGCAGTTACCTCAAAGACAGACACTGCCAATCAAAGTGTTAAAGCCTATAACATGATCCCTGCTGGTACCTCAAAAAAAACCAAACAACAAACCACCTTTCTAAAAAAATGTCCAGAGTTCTGTGCAGAAAAAAAGACTGAATCAAGCAAGATCCCACACCTGCAAAGCTTTTATATATTTCAGATTTCCTTAGTAAACAAAGCAGTGAGCAATTTACCTGGCATGACAGAAGCTCAGCAGTGACCTGCATTAAGAAAAGCTTTGACTTAACCTTGTATTTACAAGGGGCA